GACTGATAAAGAGCATAGAGAATCTATGACCTACCATGAGAGTAAGTGGAGTGAATTTATCCACATTAAGAGTAGAAAAGTCGGTATCGCTGATTAGAAATACAACGAGCAATAAAAAGGTGACCTTCGAACTACATTGGTTGGTTTGTTTCACTATATGAATTATGAATTATCTATAGTAGAGTTGCGCGCAACAGACTCGTACAGCATTGCATAGCTGTTTCTTCCTCTGGTTTCCTTAACATTTCACTTCCTTTTATTGAATATATATATATATTTATATATACATACATATATATATATATATATGTATTGGTTGTCAGCGAAAGGATTAGAAGTGACATTTTCGAGATCTCTTCCTATTGTTACCAATCGGTACGATCACCAGAACAATACTATAAATAAGATGAACGCCGAGGCATACTATGCTGCAGTTTCGTTTTCAAAATCGATGTGACCGAATTAGTTCCAGTAATCCGGGCGAATTGGAATAAAACGCAATGCTGCCCCGGCGTCTGATAACTGATCCGTACTGGCCAACGGGTTGTTTAGCAGCATCTTAGGTCTATACGATTGAAAGGAAATTCCGTTTTCTTCATATACACGGTCGCACACATCATTGCATCGAATACCAATGAAGGTCAAAACAAACGGCGGGGCCTTTGAATTCGGCCGCGTCATCTATCTCGATCGGGTTACGTTAACAGAGCGGAGTGTTACGTGTGCCACCTGACAGTCTTCCCTGAAATTCCATGTTCTTAGAAGAAGGTAGTGGGTGAAGGATGGGTCAAGGATGATCATAATGAAACCTGGCATCAGGGTCGAAAACCCTGACCATAGAAGACTCGTTAGGCTACCGATTGAAGGCCTAAGGATCAGCGTAACCAATCGCGGGAGATACTGTCGGTATCGCAAACTGTCGTGCTCCTTCATCTACTCATATTCCTGGCAATCCTAGTCCACTTGAATTGCTATCTTCACGTTGGTACTTCACCCATTTAAAATTTAACCAAATCGTCCATTACCCACATGAAATAGTCAGTCAGGTTGTGAATGTTTCCAACCGAGCCATAACCCTGGGGGCTAGTGCTGTGTTGAGCAGTGTCCGTGGCCCGCAACAAATTTTCAAAGACGGGTTGTGCTATATCGTGTAAATGGAAAATGAAAAACCGTCTGATCAGCTAGCTGCCCGGTGGCGTAGTGGGCAGCACGCTTGCGTTCTACCCATGAAGGGCCGGGTTCGATCCCCAGTCATTTCGATGGACTTGCAATGCTGATGAGACCCAACCAGGTCGAAACAGCTGACCAGTGCTTCCGAGCTTTTCAGTTCACGCTTCATTTGTTATGTATACGACCAATTCCCAGTTGAAATTTAACCAAATCCTCCATTACCCACGTGATATATATTCTTCATCGGACTGGCTCTGAAAGACCTGTCTATCCGATGGTTACCCGGTGTTGAAAACAAGGTTATTGTGACAAAAATACACTCCCTGGGTACAAGTAAATGGATGAACTGACGAAAGATTACCGGATGCGCATGCCTGACGAGCGGCAAGAACCGCGAAACCGGTCGTGTGCTTGGAGAGAAATTTTGTCCAGTCATTCACATACTGCTTATTACTCCTCGAAGTTGACTGTCTAATTTTCCCCGTTTTTGTGGCTATATTTTTTCGTTCACCCATGGTTTTCTTTGGCGCCGTATAATAACAATAAGAAGAAGAATTGAATGTACAAAGATACAATTTTTAGGAAAGCGGAAGCGGCCAATCAAAAAGCTGCCATTCAACGCAGTGGGAAAGTCAGGCGGTGGTGGTGGGATACCTGCCATGGTCCGAATCGTGAGCTATGGACAGAAAACCTTGCCACTGTGCTACATTATCGACCGTCAACAGCCTGAGGTCATGATAAAGTCAACTTTTGGAATACTCCCTTCCCATAGCTCATACAAATTTACATATATCGAGATCTACGTGTAGCCTTCGGATATGAGTCTCGATCAATGTCCCGAAATGAAAGAACCAATATGATTTACTGAAACATTTGTTCAGTCACTACGGCGTCCGTTAGGACGGAAGGCGC